CAGGTCTTAGGTCGTTCAAATTTTGTATTGATTGTTTCTTTGGGACAGGAATTATTTCAGAGCATTTCCATGAGAGTGGTATTATTCGTTCTTTCAAAGACATATTGAAAATATCAGTATAAATGGGAGATAACTGAGTAGAACACATTTTAATAATTTTACTTTTTACTCCATCGGGTCCACTCGCTTTGTGAGCTTTCAGACGATTAAACATGATCTTGACCTCTTTAACATTAACCACAAAAATTTCCTTGCTCTTGTCATTGTCTTCGTCTGTGTTGTTGTTGTTGTTGTTGTTGTTGTTGTTGTTGTTGCTATCATCTGTGCGGTCATTTTGAATCGTCTCTTTGACAGTTGTCAGCTGGTCGGAGAAATCGTGGTTGTCAAAACGAGCGTAAAAAGAATTCAGTTTGTTCACATACTGACTTGGGTTCATGTCTTGTGTTGGAATGTTTGTCCGTCTTGGTATGTCTCCAACTATAGTTTTTCAACATTGCCACGTCATTTTTGTGTTGTTAGTAGTGAAATGTTGTTCTAACTTTTCTTTGTAAACATGCTAACACTCTCTTATCTTTTTCTTTAACATATTATTTGTTGTTTTTAATTTGTCTCGGTCTTTCAGTTTGAATGCCTTCTTCTTCTCATTTAATATTTCCTGTAACTCCTTGCTAACCCATGGCTTGTTATTTGGGTAGTAGATAATTTCTTTTTTAGATGAATGTAGGTCTTCACAAAAACTGATGTAACCAGCGATAGTCTCACATAATTCATCTATACTATTACATGAATCTTTAAAAACATTCCAATTCGTACATTCAAAGCATCCTCTCAGGCTCTCCCTGTTTTCTTCACTCCAGATGGTGACAACTTTTAAAATTGGCTTTGAAGATTTTAATTTAGGTTTGTACTTCGGTAATAAAAGAGACATGCAATGATCAGAGTTTCCTATTGGAGGTAGAGATATACATTTGTAGGCATTAGAAAAATTTACATAACAATGGTCAATAGTTTTGTCCTCACGGGTTGGTACATTAACATATTGGTGGAAAGTGGGGAGGGCAGAAGTTAAAGAGCATTTGTTAAAATCCCCAGTGATTACTATTACACCGTCAGGACAAGAAGACTGTTGTTCGTGAATCATTTCGACCAAAGTGTCCGTGGCAACTTTAACATTGGCTTGTGGTGGAATATAAACAATGTTAGTTGTTATCTTAGGAAATTCCCTCGGTAGATAATACGGGCGAGTAACAACAGTTAGACATTCAATGTCAGGTGTACACAGTTGGAGTTTAACATGAATATTATTACGACTACACCACTTCTCGTTCACATACACACACACTCCTCCGCCTCGTTCTTTTTTAGAGTCAATCGTCCTGTCACAACGCACCAGATGGAATCCGTCAATGTCCACACTCTTAGTAGAAACACTGTCCTTGAACCACGTCTCGCTAAAACAAATAAGCGAGGCCTCTGTAGGCTACTTGTGCAGAAACCTAACATTTGCACAGAGTTCATCCATTTTGTTATTTAGTGACCTTGCATTACCATTTACGATAGAAGGTAAAAACGGTTTAAAAATTCTTCTTCTCGCTCTCAATCGTACTCCTCCCTTTCTTCCCCGTTTACGTGGTCTCATTTCACGGGGTAGAACGACTTTGAAAACATTGTTTTCTGTTTGCCGGTCTAAGGCGTTTTAACATGGCTGAACTGTAGGTCTGTCTCAATGGTGGAGCTTCACTCAAAACACTGCACTAGTGAATTTGCACTGACACACTCAAAACAATCAAAAACACAAGAAATATGGCACAACTGAAAGATTTAAGATCCATATTAATAAATAAGTTATCACAAGACCGTGTAAAAATTGAGTAAGCGTAAAAATTTATCCAAAATACGGAGATCTGTAAAAGCATCGTCGCCACTGAGCAGTGACAGGGATGCGTTCTATCTCCCCTCCTGTTTGTAATATTATGACGCAATAACGCAAGACGCAAACCAAAGCCCAGAAAGCCTATATGAACTTCTGTTCGCAGATGACCAATGTCTTATTCATCCAAACCAACAAAGCCTCCAAAATTACACTACCAAACTGAACAACAGCTGCGAAAAATTTAACATGGAAATAAGCACATAAAAAACAGACGCTATGAAAGTGAGCCGAAACCATAGTCTCCCGAACTTTCATGTCAATAGTAAACAACTAAAACAGGTGAAGGAGTTTAAATATCTTGGCAGCATTTTTTTCTGAAAACGGGTCCATAGACAGATAAACAGAAATGTGAACTCAAAAAGCCAACGCTGTCACCTACCAGCTCGCACTCCTTCTATCTCATCCAAACATCTCCATGGACACAAAGAGACAGCTTATCACCTCAATATTCATACCAACATTATGCTACCAGTGCCAGACCTGGACATTAAGTAAAACCCATGAAAGCAAAATCACTGCATGCGAAATGAAATGTCCCCGCAAAACCCTTAACGTCACAAGACGAGGCAGGCAGAGAAATGAAGAAGAACGAGCAACTGGGCGTCATGGAAACCCTGATAAAACATAACATCACAACTGAAAGAGCTGCGGAGCTGACCTACCATAGAAAACTGCATCTCCCCTCGACGCTTAACGGCAACAGACAGAGGATGAAAAAGTAAAAAGTAAGTAAGTATCCGGGTTCGAACCAGGGACCTATTGAATTAGGGGCGAACACCTTAACTGCCTTAACCTCTAGACCTCGAGAGCCCTTAAGCAAATACATGTATTATCTTTTTCGTCTTGTTTCACTACATGTAGTTTCAGCGTCTGTTTACCCCCCCCCCCCCCCCCCCCCCCCCCCGGGGGGGCAGTGCTACTGACTAAAATGTCTTTAGGCCATCCCCTAAGGGTTAACATGTTCTTAAGCACAGTAGAATTCTAAATGGACTGATTCATCAATGTCATGCTCATAACTGTGCCTGAACTGCACACTATCATCCTTTTTCCACTACTTTTTGTGTATGTTTGTCACACTCTTGTGAGTGGTGTTTGGCAGGTGCTTTGGTGTCGTTTGCTTCTTCTTTACTATCAAACATCTATCGTCCTTATCTCCCCACCTTCTTTATTGTGTTTGTTACTCTCTTGTAACACCTCTAATCTTCGGCACTTATATGACTTTATTGTGTTGCAAGTGCCGTAAAACACTAACTGAAACTAAAAAAAACAAAACCCGCTCTTGTAACCCGTTATTTCCGGGGTGCCTTGATAGTCGAAGCAGACTTTGTGCTGTTGAAGCTAAAGAGGTGAGCAGGGTTCGGGCCCGTGTCCACTGCGACGGACATCAACCGATCCGATTCCGTCCGTCTCTCAGAAAGTCGGTAGTTGAAACGGAGCACTGTTTATTTCCTAAGAAATCAGTGAAAAGTCTGTTTGGCTATGTCAACAGACACGACACGACACGACACGCCCCGACAAAAGACGTGTCGGTTGGAAAACCGCTTGCTCAATTTTAGCCGGGCCGGGTTGTGACTCGTGAGCGATAGGCCCCGCAGGAGCTAAAAAAAATATATTCTAATTTTGAGTTCGGATTAAAATTCTAATGTCATATATTCGTAATCAGCGCCTCAAAATTTGCAAAGTGCACGCGCAAACCACCTGGTTTAAATGCATATTAACAATGTTACCAATTTTCCTTAAAAAACCCATTCATTTCTTATTCCCGCCGTGAGTTCATTGACCTCGACTATTTATAGCCCTGTACCGAGAACACGGCCTTGGGACACAGTGTGTGGAATAATACGGCCAGTAGACCAACAGTCTAGACGTGTCTTGTCCGAACTGGTGGACACACAAGACGGAAACGATTTTCTTTCTCCCGGTAAAAGATCGGGACGTGTCCGTCTCAGTGGACCCGTAGGGTAAGCCTGCTTCCCAGTAAGGACATCTCTGTAACTTGACGTCCACCCAATGGCGCTCATAATACATTTATAATCTTATGCAGTTGAACAAAGCGTCTGTTTGAAAGTTAATCATTGTGCTGTTTAGGGTACGTACAATCAACCCCTCGCACTTTATGAGACTGTCGGCGTGACATGCACATTTGCAATTAATTTAATGTTGGCCTGCACATAGAATAGAGGTAGGCATTCAGTTGGTTTAAAAAACCTCTCTCTCTCTCTCTCTCTCTCTCTCTCTCTCTCTCTCTCTCTCTCTCTCTCTCTCTCTCTCTCTCTCTCTCTCTCTCTCTCTCTGTGTGTGTGTGTGTGTGTGTGTGTGTGTGTGTGTGTGTGTGTGTGTGTGTGAAAGATCGAGATCGAGTGAGAGAGAGAAAGAGTGAGTGAGAGTGAGAGAGAGAGAGAGAGAGAGAGAGAGAGAGAGAGAGAGAGAGAGAGAGAGAGAGAGAGAGAGAGAGAGAGCAGAGAGCAAGATTGTATATATATAGGGGCCGGGGCCTATAATATATCTAAGGTCCATGCATGGTTTTCAGTTAAGCCAGTCTGGACCAAAAAGTTGTTACTCCGGTAGCGGGGACTTCATTGCCCAGCGTGTAGGTTACCCCCAAGGAGGTTACACAGGAGGATGCTCTGTGGGTGACAACCAAGGATGAGTTTACAGTACATGTATTAGTTCTAATATCCTTGGTGGCAACGCGCTCCTGAGTGATAGGATCCCTCTCTCACAGCGAAACTATCGTATACCTGCGCTGCACGCTGCCCGACTCAAGCACTGAAATCTAAAAGGTTTTATTCCGAGGCCCTTGCGTGAGATTAGGACGCTTAGGATTAGGCAAATCAGTTAGTAAAAATGCCTTCCACCTGTGTTGTGTTTAAGTGTAAGAACCGATATGATGCTACAGTGGACAGAAGTTTTCACAGGCCAGTTGTTTTCCTTTTTTAGAAATTTGAATAAAAGTGTTTTTATGCCCCCAGCGACACAATTTAGATAATTAACATTAAGAGGCTGGCTCCGGCGTTACCTGCCAAGGCTAACCCGGGCTGAAAGGGATACAACACCCCAGCAGAAAGACCGAGATACTTGATTTAAAAAAAACATATTCTTTATTCTTGTATAATATAATTTGTTGTAAGGTCCTTGGTTACCCCCACCCAGCAGACAAAGCACATAGAACTGTTTGAGTTTGACTGTATTTCACGGACCGTGATTGAACCATAAGATTAACCCATGCCATGAGAGAGAATTACAATTAATTTAAAATTATTTTCATTAACAATAGAAATTAGAAATGATACTGAAAATGGCTGAAAAAGTAATCAGCTCATGTTTACAAAGTTCAAAGTAGCGGGCAACAACAGCTAACTAGCTATAATAGGAATTACCCCCCCCCCCTCCCATCGAGAGAGAAAAATATAATATTATTAACATCGAACAAGCTACAACCAGAGACCGTAGGCTAGACCTATACACGGTCTTTGCTCACTGTTTTTCGGCGAGCAGCTGGAATCGAAAGAAGAAAATTGCAAAAATGCTTTTGGACCAATCAAATTGAGGTTTTCATTCTCTGCGAGACTTTCGTGTTTACAAGGGGGCTGGTTCTCGACTCTTCATCAAGTCATCAACTCTTCTGTGGAGGTCTTCTGTATCACTTCATCATGACTCGAGGGCTCATAATCTCTCTTCTTGCGATATGCACACTTATCAACCTTGTTATCAGCGAGGACTGTAAATTCGTTCCACCTTGTCAATGTGTTTCTACTGGCTTTACTTTAGATTTACGAAACACAGTGTAAGTATCTGACGGTAGAGTCGGAATGTCCCAACCACAGCCACGGCTAACTACTGGGAGTTGGGTGGAGAGGGGTGGGGAGAAATCACGAGACGCACAAAATGGGAACTTTTGAATGAGAACGAAGGCAGTGCAGTAGCGCAGTGTCTGCGATTATGAGAAATAATATTGGCGTTTAGAAATAGTGTTGTCCTTTCTGTCCTATTAAAAAAACAACAACATAGGATTGCAACCTGCTTGCATCCCCTTCCTCCATTCAATACAGGATGAGATAAATAAAAAAATAAAATAAAATAAGACAAAGTGAATTGAATTTGGTAAATTTTTACTTTCACTCCGACTCCAGCACACAGATGCACTGCTTTGGGGGTAAAACTGCAGTATTTTTTGCTGCAGATCACACATGCAGCCACTAAAACTGTCGCAAATCAGTTACTGTTACAAGAAAATGCTGAACCTAACTGCAAAACATCAAATGACAAATGGGTTAATTAAGGCCGGCTCTATTTCTCCGAACGTTCGGGTAAATAAACTTGAACTCTATTTCTCCGAACGGTTTCCGTTCTCGAGATTTGTTGATATTAAGCCAATGGAGTGGCCCGTGTGTGTGTGTGCGTGCGTATGTGTGTGTCTGTGTGTTGGTTAGGTGTGAACAGGGGGGGGGGGGATTTTTTTTTTTTACATGGAGGATTTTAGTTTTTGCTGGGTGACTAAATAAATAGGTTACTGCCAAGGTCGAGCAGACCTGTTTTCTCGCAGTACCTTTTGAAGGTATTTTCAAATGAAGTATAGTCCGGGAACGTTGCCCCAACCACAACTGAAGCATCTGAATATTCAGACATTTAAAAATCTCTATCTCTAGAAATTGAATTCGATGCAAAAAATGCTTCTTCCCAGTCCTCGCAGGATGGCAGAATGAAAGGATGACGCCTAAATCTCGCAAATAACCAAAAAATCTTGAGATCGGAAACCGTTTGGAGAAATAGAGTTCAACTTTATTTTCCCGAACGTTCGGAGAAATATTCACTTCGTAAGCTACAGCGAGCACCTAGCTCACCTCTGTGATTGGCCCAAATATAGATGACGTATTTCCGCCATCTATTCTTGTTGTAAATTTCAGGGTTTCCCCCAAGAAAGACTCTTGGGTTTTCCTCGCTAGTGAGTAACTGTTGACTTGATCTTGCCGTGTGTTATCTTTTATAACAACAATCTCAGCTATTCTCATTCCATAAATTTACTTTCTCCTCAAAGTTGTACACACACACACACACAAGCGCGTGTGCGTACACACACACACACACACACCTTGTGACGTAGCCCATCGAACGCTAAGCACAAAGCGCGCCCGCCACGTTGAGATCTAGTCAAATGGTGAGGGAAGCCATGGAAGACAAAAATAGATGGCGGAAATACGTCATCTATATTTGGGCCAATCACAAAGGTGTGCCAGGTGCTCGGTGTAGCTTCATGTTTTAAAACACATATATTTCAATTTTGCGTAAAAGGGGTGTCAGGATGAGAGCATTTATGATTTTATTTACATAGCATGGGATCTTTAAGAATATGTTTGCAGCGAGATTTAATAATGGCAAAGCTTTCTTTGATGACTTTAGACCATGCCAACCCTAAAATATAATTTAATTCAATCTAGCATGCCGTTCAATTAAAACCCCTTCTTCCCGTTGAGACGCGAACACCCCGAGGCGAGAAAAGCTCGCCTTGGAATACCCCCATTACGATGTTACAGGGGAACAGAGATAAAAACTACCTGATGTGCGCGCCCGCCATTGCCCTATTTCAAGTGACCAATGAACGGGCTCGGAATAGTCATACGGGGATTTGTAGGCCACACACATTTGCATAATTTTTGTTTTTGTAAAGTGTTTTACGGCGCTCGCAACTGCATAAGGTCATATGAGCGCGCGGGACACGCCTAATATTTTCAGTTGGTAGGAAATTTTGAATTTTGCCCGGGTGGCAGCTGAAGCCTACTCTTATCGATTTTAGACCACCTAGGGATCTTTAATGTGCGCAACTTGCTCACTAGCCCTCCTGAGATTTTTCGCCCTTGTCCGAGAAGGCTAGGTGTAGATCTTTCCTACCTGAAGATCAGGGGTGTGGCTGAAAGACAGCAGTAAGAAGAAGCGAAGGAGTAGCAGTAGAAAGGCTGCAGAAAGAATCAGGAGCCGAGAGGAAGGGGCAAAGGAGGTGAGGGGTTGGGGGCAGAAAGAGGAGACAAAAGCAGACGACAGAACATTGCTAGAGAGCAGGAAAGGAGGTGAAAGGAGACAAATTTAGAGAAGAAAATTTTTCGGTCGCTACCCGGATTCGAACCCGGGACCTTTTGAATGAGAGGCGAACACCTACGGTAACCTCTAGGCCTCAAGAGCCCCCGCATAGAGAGTGAGGGGAAAATGACCGGTCTCCGTGCGAAGCCGCTTTGGACTGGGGTATAGTTGTGCATTTATGATAAATTCTGCACAACTACTTGACACAGAAGGTTCAAATTTGAACACACTATAGAAGAAAGATGGATCTCTTACCATCTCGGCGTCGAATATCAAACTCCTTATAGTTTTCGGTGTACCCGATACGAAAGTGTTTCCGACACCAAAAGTATAGGTTAATTTATGTGTACGAACTTCGACTTCCACATATCATTAGTTTGCCCTATTTTCTGATTGGTTGCCAAGTTTCATTCACATTGGTCCAGAAAGCAAAGGAAATCAAATCAATAACAAATAGACATAAACTTTAAAATAAAGGGATTTGGAGAAAGCTGTTTAAAGTGGCTAAGCTGCTCTGGGGCAGCCCAAGAATTTAGAGTTCCCAGAAAACCTCCTGCCAACCATGTCTCTGGTTGATCTACTTTTGGAATGAGGGCTGGGTGGGAGACAAATAAAATTGTTGACAAAGTGATTGCAGCTGCAAATGCTAGTTTCCCTTTTTAAAGAAAGATCAGTTTTTAACATGTGTTTAATAATCTACACATAACGAAATAAGATGATCTCCCAGTCGAGTGAATTTCCCCCAAAGGACTGGCAAAATTCCCTGATATGGTGTAGCAATGCCAATCAGGCTTCCGCGCGTGGCGAAAATTTGGTCCCCGTTTGTGGGTGAATTTTTGGACAGAGTCGGAACGATAGTGACTAACTTTCTCGAGCTCGTTCTGCGCTATTTCTGGACCAATGTGAATGAAACGTGGCAACCAATCAGAAAATACGAGTGGACGGATGGATGGACGGACGGAGTGACTCCTTTCATTGCATACTACTTAACCCCCTTCTAAAAAAAACCCACCCTCCTGCCCTACATTGTAGTTATAGCGTTCTTGGCAGAAATTTGTCTAGCCCCCTCCCCCCACCCCTAAAAAGTCCTTTGGGAATTCTTTAAATATCGCCATCGCGATAAATTAGAACATACACAGTGTGACCCACACACGAGGTGAAAGGTTACCTCACCAGCCTCTCTCACTCTCTGTGGCATTGCTAGTGGCTTGAAATATGCCTTTTATCTAATTAACCAACAATAAACGATAAGCCCAACCTCACTTTGAGTTTCTTGTCTGCTGGAGTTCGTCTGTTTGCCCGCTTGCCCGCCTGCTCAGTGAAGAAAATTGTGGAGCGGTCCCAAGAAACGAACTGACTTGAGGTTCGTAGTCCGCATGCTCTTGTTTGCTTGGCTAGTGTTCGTCTGCTCACTGAGAGAATAAAACTGTGGAGCGGACACAAAAAGATGAACTGTCTTGAGGCTTGCAGTCCACTTGCATGGCTGTCTGTTACCCGCTCGCTCTGACCGAGTCTGTGAGTAATGAACCCGTCAGTCCGCTTACCCCAACTCTAGGGAAAACTGTTCATAAGTCAGTAATGAATTGGAATATATATATAAGTGAAACTCGGCATCTTCATGTGGTTTTTATTGCAGAATCTAGTTCTGCTATAACTTTTTCAATGTCTTTACTACGTTGGATCTTGAAGACTAATTATTTAATATTTGCGTGAAAATTTGTTGAATTGCGTGACATTGCTTGAACAGCTACCGGGGGGGGGGGGGGGGGGGGGCAGGCTTGCGAGGCATTACAAAACTTCACAAGTTTACAACACATACTGGGCAGAAATTAGTTGAATTTACTCCACTAAGTGACCACATTAGTGACCTATTTAGTTTAAGGCAGCAATTCACATGCCGCCAGTGGTCATGCACCTCTCGCATGCCCAGGCGAGCTTGCTCAGTTTGTGACCCAGTTTCCGGATTTGGTCTTTTATCGCTGGGTAGGTTGTAAATTTAAGTTGGTAAGTAAAATAATAATAATAATATACTAATACAGGGACCTGAAATTTTACAGCAGTAAAGGAAACATTGTGGGTGCTTGTCTGTTGGCGTCCATGCAGCAGCTCCTCCTAGTTTTTGAACTGCAGAAGAAAATCACACAAACACGGCAATTTCTCAGGTTCTAGAAATCTGTCAGCATTAGATGCTCGCATGTTGTATGTTTGGCTTTTCCTCTGGTTGATTGCCAAATTTATTTCATTTTCGTCCTCTAGTTTTTCCTGTAACTATTCTTAGAAGAGAGCCACTAATGGGCTAAACTGCCCCAAAATTACCCCTCGCATTGAGCCGGATTTCTGGCTTAAAGCGCAGCGGGCGATTGGCATTGCTACATAAATTAATGTTTTGATTTTTTTTAAAATGTCTGCTTTGCACAAACTACCTTCCTTACAACACGGATTTTCCATCTTCCATTTTCAGGCGCCCATTGAGTGTTATTGATGGAGACTACACCTATTACATTGACCCTTGTGGAGACCATGCTAAAGTTGCTCACTTTTGCAATGTGGCTGAGGAGGCGGTGAGTCCTTTAGAAATATTGTTTTGTTTGTTTGTGTGTCATGTTTTATATTCTGAGGTCTTTCCAGATATTACCTGTGAAGACTTCTCTTCAGCTCTTTGAAAGTTCAAATTTTTTTTCTTGTCTTTGTGCCAGCATTGTATATTATATGTGAGAGTAGACATCCATTTATTAAGCCTGATGGTCAGTAGTGGAAAGATGTAACTAGGAGGTTCTCTTTCAGGGTCAATTTCTTGAACTGGGACTTTTCATACTGCAATAGTGTAGTCTATAGACACTGCTTGTGTATTATGAAACATAGATAATTTATTACATGAGTTGAGGTGTTAGATCATGATTTATTTTATCCAACAAGTGAAATTGCCAAGTTGTAATCACGAGTTTCAACGAGTGATTACAACTGGCAATTTCACTCATAGGATAAATCATGGTCAAATACCACACTGATATCAGCTGGCGAAATAGATGCGGACCAACAAAGTTCAAATGACCAGCCAATTCGACAAGAGTCTCACATGAAAACAGCATTTTCATGCCCGTTGGAGTCAGAGTGAGGATTTGATAAAATCTGGATTGTTTTCCTTTATTTTTAGTCATGCTAGTGTTGTGCTAAGTATATGCCTCTCTCCGCCTAATAAACCCCAAAAGAAATAATGCTAGCATAGGCAAAGCAAGCAGAAAACGTACGATCCAAAAGGTGAAAAATGAAGAAACCGAGGTGATATTATGACTTGTTGTCGTGAGAATAGAGATGACTTTGATTTAAACTTTGCATTCAAAACAAACCAAAGGCTGGGAGTTGTTTGCTAGGCTAGCATAGACTTGTTAACATTGCACTAAAGTACATGGCCGTACTCTTGACGAAATCCTGGGTCACTATGGTGCGCACCATTTGATTCAGTTTGGAACAAAATTAAGGGTAACGTAGAGAGTTAATCAGAGTTGGGCCTACTCTCTACTATAGGGACAGTGGAAGACTGTTGTTTGGCACTTCATTTGGGCGCCTATGGTGAGCTCGCTTTGCAGCGAAGTTTTTACAGGGAGGAAAGAGTGGCTGCCATGACATTGCTGGGTCTAGAAATGTTAGGATTCAAGTCTATACTTTGCTTTAGAACGTTAGAAGGTGAATATAGTGCGCGAAGTAATTTATGCACATTTTTATATTTCCCGTGTGAGATGTCAGCTTAGCCAGCCTATATTTCACGTTTGAAATATAAGGATTTATTTTACCAGAAGCACAATGCTAAAACAACTCTTAAGAATGGTATAGAAACAAATGTCTTGCGATCATACACAATTACTAAAACCGTTGTTTTGTCAATGACCTTATTTTTGTAGAGCCCATGTAATAGGAAAATAATGCTTGTAGTAGAAAGTTCATCACCCGTCGTGGGGTGGGGGGGGGGGGGGCAAATGAGAAAACAGGTGAATTTATTCTTGGTAAACTAAATTAGTGTGGTAGTGTGGGATGCATCTTGATTTATGTTCACGTACAGTGGAGTCCGCTTAAACTGAAATCTGCAGGACTGCTGGATTTTCTTCGATTTAAGCAGGTTTTCGGTTTAGGGAGGTTGCTTCAATAGAAGGAAAAAAATTGTGGATTTTATTTTTTGTCGGTTTGCTGCTGTTTTCATATTAAAAGTGTTTGGTTTAAGTGGACTTCTCTGTAATTTGTTTTGTGAACTGATTGTGGTAGTGAGAGTTTTTGTAGTTGTTCTACTAGAAACAACCAATCTCCTGTAGTCTGGCTGAGCTTGCAGAGTGAATAAAGAATCATGGGCATAGATGGCTGCTTTGGATATGGAAAAATAAAGAGCACATGTCAGTCTTTGCTGTATTTCTTTTTTTTTTTCTTTTTTTTTTGTTGAAAGCTGAACCAAACTATAAAATAAGCTGTTGAAGGTTCTCTCTGATGTGATTTGTATGCCAGTGCTTGGTTTGCTTGTCTATTCTTTCGTTCTGAATGGCATTTTTTTGTGAGTGTTGTAAGTCTGGTTTCATTACAATTCAGATTTGAAGCAGATAAGAACAGATCTCTTAGGCAATTTGGAAACTGAAAAAGAGGGAGCTTGCCCACTCAGGCTGCTCAAATTTACTTCTTAATTCTAAATTAATCCTTATGAAAACCAAACCAGTATCATCTGTGGTGCTTTAGGCTCTCCACTTTGCACTCAAAAGTGAGTTCAGTTTCCTGGTGAAGAAGTGTAAATTCATTGTTTCTTCTTCTTTATGCTGGGATGTTTTATCCCTCTCAGCCCAGGTCAATCTTCACAGCCTGGGTAGAAGCAGTCTGCCTCATGAGTGATAAATATGATGAATATGAGGACACACAACATGTGCAATTAATTTTAAAAAAAATCTTGCACCTCTATGAATCAGTGTTGGTAACTTACAGTACTTTTGAGAGTGCCATACAGCAAGAGTTGACTTAGTTTTGTGGCTTCCACGGTAACTGGAAGTCTCGGGTGGGATCCCCACAAGAATCCCACAAAATTTGACCTCGTGGAGTTTTTGTGCCTCTTAAAAATTGGGGCTGTCCCGTCTCAGATGAATTCAAAATGTAAGCATTGCCTCTTGCACAACCACGTTATATTGAAAGGGACGTTAAACTTAATCTCTACAGGATGATAATCTAGACGGAAAGGTCAGAAGACCATACTCATAAAAATTTAGTAGAGTAGACTGAAGCTGAAAACAGAGTGTAAAGTCAATGGCCATGAGATGCAGTGAAGGAATAAAGATGCAGATTTTAAAAACCCTTAAATTAAAGCTTGAATTATTTGTTGTAGGATGCTAATATACTAGGTAATTGTGTATATGTGGTCTGTCTCTGAGATGTATGGTTCTGGCCTGTTGGTGAATTGTTTTTATGTTTGAGCAACTTGTTTACTGGGTCGGTATTGAAGGCGCTTTTGGTTGGTCCTTTTTCTTCACTTTTCCCAGCTCTGAATGACCAGTATTGCGCCTATGTATTTCTCTTTTCCCAAACTAAATCCAACGTCAAACATGATATGGTAGATGGTTGGCGGGTGCTCTGGTGTGGTTTGCTCCTTATTTCCTATAAAACATCTATCATCCTTATCTCCCCTCCTTCTATTTTGTGTTTGTTACTATCCTGTAACACCTCTAATCTTTGGCACTTATATGTTTCCAGAAATCTTGACCTTCACCAAAAGTGGGCATTGCCCTACCTATAGGAGAAGTTTGGTTTCATTGGTGTGTAAATTTGTTTGGCTATAGAGAAAACTCTCCTTGTCTTTTAAAGAAACTGAACAAGGGCCCAAAAACTTTATCTTCGATTTTCTCGAAACATCATTTTTCGGGATAGCCCCCTTGTGCTTAAAAGCGACCATATGACCTTATTGTGTTGCAAGTGCCGTAAAACTCTTACTAAAATTTTTTTTAAAACTTGGTATGTAATTAGGTAATCACAACCCTAGAATTCTCTTTTCTAAGAGATATGCCACTTTTCCCAATGGAACGGAACATTAAATTGCACAAACTTCTATGTTATCTTTGAGTTTGATTTGTGCTTTTTTGTGGTGTTGATCTCTTTTTTCATTCTATATGCAGGTCATATTGCTACATTATTAGAGTGTCAAAAGTATGTGCAGATCACAGGTTTTAAAAGGGAAATTGTTTTTATTAATTTTTGTTTCAATATTTATCTTTTATAATGTCATGTAGGTACCTTATCATTAGTTGTTACTTTTTTGTTGACAGGGATGTCAAGTGAAACAATCTTCTATATTTGGCATTGCAAGTACCTCAGGTTACAGTGCAACTGGAGACCCTTTTAAGAACAATGTGGTCTTTAAGAATCAGTACGGAGAGGGAACTGAAATAAGGTGAAACTTCTTAATCGCATTTTGTTCCTTGTACCAGAATGTCATTTTGACTAGTGGTGGGTGGGAATCGATTCGATGCATCGATACCCCAATACCTTCTTGGTATCAGAATTGAATTGATACGTTCGAAAAGGATCCATACATGAGGACTAATTATTCCCAGGCAATTCACTGATCCAAGGGATGATACTTTTGTTGTTTTCAAGTCCAATCGAAACATCAGGTTAAAAAAAGAAACGCGCTCTTCGCCTATAAATCAACATGGCATCAAGAAAGACTAGTATTGTGTGGGAACATTTTGAGAAGGATAATCCTTCACAGGTTAAGTGTTTATTAGGCAAAAAGACATTTGCATTCTCAGGTTAATGTGTTGACTTTGGGTGCCTGGTGTGTGTATTGGTAAAGACATTTTTTTTTATCGATCAAGTTCAAGTAGGCCTACTAGGTATCGGAATCGGCATCGAATCGATTCCTTGAAAAAGTATCATGTATTGCATCGATTCCTAAATAGTGGTATCGTCCCAGCACTAATTTTGACCCATTGTATGGCACAATTACCATATTTGTAGTATTTTGGTTAGAGAATATTTAACTTCTTTTATGCTGATCGATGTCTCTTCGCTGGATAGTGAATGCTGGCTAATCTAAATGAAATGTACAGCCAGTGGAAATTTGTACTTTGTGACTGGCTGTTAAACTTTAAATCGGGTGGTTGACGGTTGCTCTGGTGTGGTTTGCTTCTTCTTTTCTATCAAACATCCATCATCCTTATCTCACCTTCTTTTTTGTGTTTGCTACTCTCTTATAACGCCACTAATCTTTGGTACTTATAGGATCTAATTGTGCTTCAAGTGTCATAAAATGCTTACTAAAACAACAACCCCCCCCCCCTTCTTTAATCAACTGCAAACACAAACTAGTAGGGGGGGGGGTTGTTCCCAGTTCAAAGAAACTGGACAAAAATCAGCTTAGATTCATAATAATGATATATGTCATGAGCACCGCAAGAAGGGTTAAACTAAGGAGTTCATGGGTTAATTTTATGCCATCTTGTGGAGGGTGTGTGTGTTGGAGAGGGTGCTTAAAGTAAGAATAGGGTTTCATATGAAGACCCTGATTTAAAGCAAACAAGGACAACTGACAGGTAAAAGGGGCACACTGCGTAGATATGATTTCAAAATATAAAGCGTTGTCTCTAACTTTGATTTTATTGTCCTTTTCAGAGTGACACTTTTGAATATCAAGTGCAATTACTTCTCAGAAGGACATCTTGTATTCGTACAGGAAACTCCCCCCAAAACCTATGTGAGTTTTTTGTCATTTCTTTTTATTATTAAATGTATTTGTGCTTGTCAGGATACTGCCGTGCAGTCCCGGCATTGAGAAGAATAGGACTGATGTGGTGCTGGCGTGTCGTACGAGGCGACTAAATGGCAAACCAGGTAGTAACTCCCGAAACAGAGTCATCCTCCCTCCAGGTCGGGGGTTGAGTCACGAGGCTAACAACCTCTCACGTAAAAAGAACCTGTTACAGAAACACATGCAAGCAAAAACCATTATCTCTGCTTGGCTGGTCGTGGATCTTCTCCGAATGGAGTTTATGATACGAGGCAGTAAAAGCCGAAAGGAAGCTGCTCGGCAGAGGCCTCCACCATCATCCAAGTCCAAGTCTCTTCAGATTGAAACGTGGAACATTAGGACCCTTTATAAGGCTTGAAAAACTGCACAGGTCCTCCAAGAGATGCACCGATACCAACTACACATACTGGGAATCAGCGAGACCCACTTGAACCAGTCTGGACAGAAGGGAATGAAAGAGGGTGAGCTTTTCATTTATTCAGGAAATGACAGTGATGGACCACACAGAGAAGGAGTAGGGATGATCATATCCAAAACAGCTCAAAAGACATTCAGGGGCTGGGAAGCGCATGGTCTAAGGATCATCATGGCCTCATTTGGAACTAAGAAAGAACTCAAGGAAAGAGATAGTAAGAAGAAGGTTATAAACATGAACATTATACAAGTGTATGCCCCAACCAATGAGGCAGAAGAGGAGAATAAAGAGGACTTCTACAACCACCTGCAAAGTGTGATCGACAAACTTCCAGGTAAGGACATCAACATTGTCATGGGAGACCTAAATGCAAAGGTAGTTTTGGACAATAGTCGCTGTGAGGAAATCATGAGCAGACATAGGAGAGGTAAATGACAACGGAGAAAGATTCCAAAACTTCTCTACATTCAACAACTTGGTTATTGGAGGAACAATCTTCCCACATAAAAGAATTCATAAGGCCACTTGGGTCTCCCCGGATGGAACAACGGAAACCAGATTGATCATTTTTGCATTTCCCGAAAGTTTAGACGCTCACTGGAGGACGTCCGAGTCTTTCGAGGAGCAGACGTTGCATCAGACCACCATTTGATCCTTGGAAAGATGAAACTGAAACTGAGAAGGTATGCACAAGTCACAACTGGAAGTCGTCAAAAGTATAAAGTGAGCCTTCTGAAAGACCCAGTAAAGAAGAATGAATTCAAGTTGGAACTGAAGAACAGATTTCAAGCCCTTCTTGATGAATGTGAAGTAAACGAACACTGGGACAAGATAAAAGAGGCAATAAATGCAACTTGCAAGAACACCCTAGGACCCAAAGTCAACACCAGGAATGAATGGATTTCTTAGGACTCTCTAGACAAAGTCAAAAGAAGAGGAGAGCTGAAGGCCCAAGTCAACAACAGCTGTACCCGAACTGAGAAACTCACTGCACAGCAAGAGTACACTGAAGTAAACTGGGAGGTTAAAAATTCCTTCAAGGACAAGAATGCCCACCTGAATGACCTGACCGAAAAGGCAGAGAAAGCAGCAACAGACGGGCACTTGCGGATTGTACACCAGACTACAAGAACTCTTTCAGGTAGGTTCAGCAAGCCCACTCTACCAGTGAAAGACAAAGAGAGAAAGAGTATCTTCAACCCAGAAGGGTAACTTTACCAGTGGAGAGAACACTTTGATCAACTCTTGAACAGACCACCTCCAGAAAACCAACCAGAAATTTTTCCAGCCAGAAATGACCTCCCAATAGTTACGGAACCACCTTCGAGAGAGGAAATTGCTGCAGCTATAACCGCACTGAAGTCACATAAGGCAGTTGGTCCCGACTGTATACCACTGGAAGCCCGGCAGATAGAGATACTTCAGTGGAAATTCTTTATGCTCTATTCGAAAAGGTTTGGCAAGAAGAGGAAATACCATCAGACCGGAATTAAGGCCACCTAATCAAGCTGCCAAAGAAAGGAGACCTCAGCAATTGTAACTACTACAGAGGCATAACACTCCTGTCCATACCTAGGAAAGTCTTTAACAGGATACTCCTGGAGAGAATCAGGCTGGCAACAGATTAGAAGCTTCGAGGAAACCAGGCAGGATTCCGTAAGAACTGATCATGTGTGGACCAGATCGCTACTTTGCGCATCATTGTTGAGCAATTGCTTGAATGGAATTCACCACTCATGGTCATCTTCATTGATTATGAGAAGGCATTTGACAGTGTGGACAGAGAAACTCTGTGAAAACTCATGCGGCATTATAGAATACCTGACAAAATCGTCAAGCTTGTGAAGGTCACGTATGATGGAACAAACTGCCAAGTCTTCTACGAAGGACAACTCTCAGAACCATTTCAGGTACAGACAGGAGTGGAACAAGGATGCTTGCTCTCACCTTTTCTCTTCATACTGGCAATTAACTGGGTCATGAAAGAAGCCACCAGAGACAAGCGCAATGGAATACAGTGGATCCTTTGGCAGCAGCTGGACAACTTGGACTTTGCCGACGACCTTGCACTGCTCTCTCACACACATGCTCAGATGCAAGAAAAGACCAAGGAACTCAACAGCCTATCAAGGAGTGTTGGCCTACGTATACATCCGGGTAAGTCGAAAGTAGTGGAGCTAGGAAAAGTTTCAAGCCCTGCTGTGACAGTGGAAGACTCTCCCCTGGAAAAAGTGGACTCCTTTACCTACCTTGGAAGTATCACCGATGGTAAAGGTGGAACCGAGGCAGATGTAAAAGCAAGAACCGCCAAGGCAAGGTCAGCATTCAAGCAATTATCAAAAGTCTGGAAAGCAAGCAACATCTCACTGCGCCAAGATTTGACTCTTTAACTCCAAAGTCAAGTCTGTGCGCCTCTATGGCTGCAAAACTTGGAAGACAACAAAGACAGTACTGAATGAAGTCCAGGCACCAACAGATGTATGAGGAATATCCTAAGAATTAAGTGGCAGGAGAGAATAAGAAATGAAGAGCTGTGGGAAAGGACAGGACAAAAGGATATAGAAGTAGAAATAGGACTAAGAAAGTGGCGATCGATAGGACACACCTTCAGAAAGCCCAGCGGAAACATCACAAGACAGTCGCTGCAGTGGAACCCACAGGGAGCACGAGGCAGGGGTAGGCCACGAGAGCATGGAGGAGATGTGTGGAAAGGGACATGAGAGAGATGAAGCTCACTTGGAACGAGCTTGGAAGGATGGCCGAGGACAGAGATAAATGGAAGGAGCTTGTATGTGGCCTATACCCTGCCAGGGGTGAAAGGCATTGATGATTGATGATGTCAGGACAGGTTAAATATTTGGCTTCATATGACCCTGATGTGTAGGTTTTTTCTTTGCTCTAGTCCTACAAATATTCTTCTTATCAAGTATATCTAACCTCGGATTTCTTCATTTTGCTAGCCGTGGTGGTTTAGTGTGCTTTCGTGTGCGTCTGTCTCTTCTGTCTCTTTTCTTTTTCTAAAATCATTGTCTGATCTATCCTGAATTTTCTCAGTTGATGTACCTTTGTTTAGCCATGTTAAGAGCAATGTGCTTTGTCCTTTCTTCTGTAGTTATGTCTGAAGCCCTGTGCTATCTCTTGTATTGCTTCTTCTGCTTTCCCACTTAGATCTCAGTGGATTTTTTTCATCCAACGTCATAGCGGGTTTTCATATTTGCAGCCCTATTTCCTACTAGAACATAATCTCTCTACTTTTTGGGGTGCTGCATACTGCATTTGGTTGGAGGGTTTCACTGGTTGATCCTGTTTCTTTTCTTTTCCTCTATTGTGTCTGTCTGTCTGTCTTGTATTTTCGCTGCACAAAATATAATTTTAATGTCGAAGTGCTTCTTTTTACTCAAACAATACCACATACTGTGTTTGAAAGAGCACCAAATTACTGATGGATTTGGTTGGCAAATCTTTAAATATGCTTTATACAAAGTAATACAGTGGAGTCCACTTATAACGAATCCTGAAAAAACGAGAAGTCTGTTATAAAGACACTGTTCTAAAACCCCGTTTTTTTCTCCTCTTTACCTTTGTAAATAAAATACTACTATAGCGCTATCAGACAAACATGCGAGTCGGTTATAGCGCAATATTGCTGCTGTTCTGCACAGTGCATGGGCCAATTATACATAATGTAAAACCTCGCCAGTTGAGAAACTTGTTGGTGATCTAGCGAAACTAAGAATGGGAGAGCCCATGTGTGTCAACAATGAAGGCCGGAGCAACCGAGTAGGGGGAGTGTGGCATGCGCAGACAAGCAGAACGCATCGCGTGATAAGCCAGCATAAGCCTAGTTTAGATTATCGAGGCCTACCATGCCTCTCACTTCTCCGATGCGGGGATGGAGAGGTCACAGCAATGTGATGGATGGAGTGAATGTATGACATGCGCGAGCAGACAGAATGCACCACGCGGTGGGGGGGGGGGGGGGAGAAACACAGTGGGTGAGTTAACCCAGAGCCCTTTCTTTCTGATCGCCAACGCCGAGCTGTCAGTCTACATCGCTAGATCTAGCGCTAGAGAAATAAACCTGATTCGAATTTTGATCAAGTAAGACCTAGAGGTCACGTTGAAACAAAATCATCATCAGGGGAGATATCAAAAGGAAATAAACAGAACACCAAACTCATAGATTAGGCCTACTTTACAGGTTCCCTTTAATTTATTACTGGATCCCTTATCGCGAGAATCCTGCTATAACGGACAGTTTGCTCCGGTCCCCACCCTCTCGTTATAACAGGATTCCACTGTATTTGCGCACTGCAAAATGTTAGTGATAAACATAACTCTAGGCATTAACATTTTTCTTCTTTTAGAACTTCACTCTGGAGACAAACAGAGCTTGCACTGTTCCCGCTGAAGACGATGACGGAGGTTTGAGTGGAGGCTCTGTGTTGCTTATAATGTAAGCTTTGTCTAATATCATTTTTACTACTTTTGAGATATGTAGAATTTCATGTGACCAAAACCAGCATACAGTTAGTCATTTTTTTACCCCCATGAATATGTATGCTGTGGATAGGTGGTGGTGGTGTATTCATTTTGTAATTTGTAGTTTGAATATGAAAGGAAGATGTCTGAATTATTGAATATAAGTTCTAATTTGTGGACTTACGGCTGCCGGTGCAGGAGTGGATAGTGACCCTTTAGTAAGGTTTTTTAGTGTTTTGTCATATTTAAAGAAATCAAGTTTAGGTGGTTGGAATGTTATCCCTTGTAGTGCTTTTAGGATTCCGAAAAATATTGTGACTACGTGCTTGAGAAATATTTATGCAAAAGTAAGTCTACTTTTCAGATGCCATTTTTTCCACACTTTTAATCTTATCTGGCATCAGCAGAGATGCATTTGTGCTTCCATCAGGCTGTAGTATTTCTTGATGTCAATCTGTTTCAGCTTTTTTGTCCTGCTTATCGTATACCTGGTTGGAGGAGTTCTTTTTCTCAAGTTTGTACGTCGCGCTGAGGGACTGGAGGCTATACCCAACTATGAATTCTGGAAAGATTTTCCTTCACTAGTTAAGGTAAGTGTTGTTTCCTGTGGGACAGGTATCGACTGCATAGTGTAAGACTCTGCTGTAAGCCACTGTAAAAAGTAATGTATGGCAGAGTCTTACACTGAGTAAGCAATATATTCTTCTCAAGAGAATGATTTTGATGAGTGATATTTGGTCCAAATTTCGTTTTTTGTTGCTTAAGTTTAATGTGCTTCTCCACACAGTGTAGGTCATGTAGGAGAAGGTGGACCTCTTGGTCCCCAGTCAGGACTTTACTGCTGAGAGAAAATATGCCAGGGAGGACGGGGAAAATTTGGCATCCCTTTTTGTCGCACATCTTCCAGTCCATTTGCACCTTTATGTGATTGGAATTAGCACTGATGAAACTGTTTTATATTCTTTTCTTTTTCAGGATGGTGTTAAATTCACCTGTCGAGGATGCAAAGCTGAATCAACATATGAGAAAATCTAGTAATCATTTGACTTAATGTTGTAAAGAGAGGATGAAGCTGAATTTCAGTTTTGTTTGTTTTTTGATTGTCTGGTGGATTTGTTATTCAATGTTTCAAGTTGTATTAGTTTGTCTCTCCCTACCCCACGAAGTGTCTTAGGAAACTGATGATCTGACTGTGTGCTTCTCTTGAGTGGCCTAATGTTTATTGAATTTTGAATTGAGAGGATGAAGTATTCCTGTGTTGGCCATGATTGTGTGTGATTGAAACAAGGTCTAAATGTAACGTGGGTCCATGTGTATCATTGTTTCTTTGAAATTTGTTCCTTTTCTGTTGTGAATACAGTCACTGTCAGTGCCTTATCCAGTTTTGAGTGCAAAATAATGATGATGATTATTATTGTTGAAAGCTTTGGAGGAAGTTTTCAGTGTGCAGTGACATCACATGACGTAGTTTGGCAGGTTATTCTCTGTTGTATTTAAGACTGCATGGATTCCTTGCTTTGCTTCTGCTCACCTCATCATGGAAGGGATGCTTAAATGGACAAGTTGGTGGAATAGTGTGTGAAGTTTGTCTCTGTGTTTGATGTTGGAGCAGTGAGTTTGTAGTTTTTGTATTGGATTGCTGCTAGAGTGTGATATTCTCGAGATATCGAGATTATTGTTACTCATTATGATATGTACATTTTATATAATTTTGTTGATTTGCTGTGCAAGTTGTGAGGGAACAGATTTTTTTTTTTATTTCGCAGAAAGTTTTGACTCATTTTTTAATTTAGGATTTCAAGGCAAACCAGTACTACATAAATGTTTGCATTAAAAAAAAAAATTTCTGCCCGGCTGTACATTTTTGTGTACGGGGGGGGGGGGGGGGGGGGGGTGTGAAAGAGTGAGGCGAATACTTTATAAAAATGGATGGTTAATACATGAAGGATATTATTCAGTTGCGTGATTAAGATACACCAATGAATTTGTTTCAAGCAGGTTCAGGTCACCATTATTGTCTCCATGTTTCTCTTTGCTCAAAGATATCACTCCAGTTTCCTAAGTATCTCTTGAACTTATTCTAAAGGAGACTTTCTGTGTGGAAGTTTTCGAGAGAACCAAATCAAAATTTATCTTTACTTATTGTACATTTTTGTTCGGTGCTGCATCTGTCATGCATCTGTGTGAGAGTGAGGGGAAAATGAGATCAGATGCCACACATTACTTATTTGAAACATAGTGTTTTAAGATGTCCAAGATCATTGTTGAATGGTCAATAATTCCAGTAGGGTGTCAGGCAGGTCAAACACATTGTTGTAACCCATCCAAAATGGTAGGTTCGTCTATTGTTTGTTTGCTGTTGGGTTTTTTTTTCTTCTAGTATTCAATGAATTCACTGTCACTGATAATGTTTGATACCTCCTAGATCTGCAGTTTGAATTTATTATGAATGTTGAGAATTGAAGAAGTCCGTATTAGATTTTACACAGAAGGAAAAGGATGCCGAAGAAAAGTAAAGAGAAAAATTCTTATTTGTGAATAATACATGTGCATTGAGAAAAACCCTATCATCAAAGGTACTGGGAAATGGTTTCTTGACCTCATTAAAATGAAACTGAAATCTATTTTATTATGTGATGTGGAGGGAGAATGGTATCTCTGTTCCTTGAGAACAATAAATTTGTTGAAAGTTCTGTCTTGAATTAAAATTACTTGTCATAGGTTCATAGGTCAGAACCGAAATTTATGAAATTGATATCTGTGTGTAAACCTCCGATCTGAAATCTCAGTTTCCTGATTCCCTGCTGTGTGTTTTTGTTTTTTTGAACAGTGGGGAAGAGGAGCCGGTCACTGTAGGCTGTTTGTTGTGATTTACCAGATGTCCGGTGTAATTCATTTTTGGGCTCTTATCATGCTGTTACTTGATCCATTTTCTTTTTTATTTTATTTTGGAGTACAGTCTACATACAGCTGTGATGATGTTGTGCATTGATTGCTCTTAGTATGATATTTTTGTGATGTATGTGGTACAGAGAAAGACTTTTGTTTGAGTAATTTTCAAATATTTATTTCTATGGATCTGTTGTTTGTTTTTTTTACCCCATTTGCGTGGTGTTTACATAAACTGACTACAGGTTTGAACATAATCATAATGAGATATCGAACAATTGTGTTGGTAATTATCATCTGGAGTGTAGGACTATGGGAGATGAGGTTGTGAAAGGTCCTGCATACCTCTTCGATGCTAGGACCTCTCAAACAATACTCATAACCTATGTTCTAGATACTTTTGTTATGAGCGGACAGGTTTGAAGATTTTTCAATCATATTTTTTTAATATATTGGTGATCTTTTAAAATGTAAGATAGTAAGTGCAGGTTGGCATTGCCTTTCCTATATAATGTACTATTTTATGCTTACTTGCAGGCAGAATGTATTGCGTATTAACACTTTGCTTCCAGTTTAATTTTTGTAGTAGTTTCATATCATACCTACATGGTGAAAAAGAACTTTTTGTGGGACTTCACTCGCTGTCTGACTTTGAGGGTAAATTATGTGCCTGCTACTTGCTACTTTAGTCCCAGATAGGAAGCAAATTATTTTGCCTGTTTTATTTTTCCTTTTCACAGGCGATCAGTGAATGGCAAATGGAAGCATATATCAAATTTCTAAAGTCATTTAAAAAAATCACAAGATTTGATGGTAGCATTGAAGGTTTGTGTGGACTGCAAGGGCAGGTTATAACACAAACACAAGAGTTAAAGCAAATTGTTTTATGAAGAAGATCTAATATGTTGTATGAGCTGGTAAAGATAAATGTTTCTGATTGGGTCTAAAAAAGTGAAATACCTGAAAGGGCTCACTGTTTTAGATACTATGGGAAGAATAGTCACTTTATATTGGAACTCATTGTACCTGCAATGCAAAGTCGTGGCCTCTGTGATATGGCTTGCTAGAAGAAGCAGTAAAAAGTCTCTGTATCATCATCATAATATAATAGATGTTTATAACGTATTGCTATATTACCTGAACCTTTTCTATATATCTTTACCACAAGGAATTAATACAATGGAGTGAAATAAATTAAAAAGTGCATGGTCTAAGAAGTGTGTTGCATAATTGAAAGAGTCATGAAGTGAAGACACAGAGAAAGAACACCATGTTGTTCTTGTCTCGAGTCATTGCAGCTGGTGACTCATTTCGGTGGACGCTCTGTGAACTCAGTTGGTATCATGCTGAGTTAGGGAGCAGATAGCCTCGGCTCGAATCCACAATGAGCTTTCTTGAACTTGGGTTGTTTTACATGTGTTTTCAAGGCTTGAACTCTTCTGAGTGGGTGGTTGGCGGGTACTCTGAACATCTATCGTCTTTATCTCCCCTCCTTTTTTGTGTGTGTTACTCTCGTGTAACACCTCTAATCTTCGGCACTTATATATGACCTTATTGTGTTGCAAGTGCCGTAAAACTCTTACTAAACCTAAAGAACTCATCTGGCTTGGTACTATCCGAGGTGAACATTAAATTCGGAGGTCCGCATCTTTAATAACATAATAGTGCTGACAGTTGCATTAAACCCATACACACTTGTACATTTATTTCGGACATTACCATCTGATAAAGGCTCTTGTCTGCTAAGAATCTATTGTTCAGCCATTAGCAGTTATTTTTTAAAATAAGAAATGAAATCTAATTTTTTACTGTTCCTCTACTGTTTCTGCCTGAATGTCTTACTTGCCTCAGCCCCATTTGATTTCATTATGTTGATGTTAAACTCAAACTTTAATACAGTATTTGATTTCAGATTGCTGTGAATTAGAATCGGTTGCTGCTCTGTTAATGATTTAGTTAAAATTAAAACAAGTTTTTTTAGTTTAATGCACATTTTATTTGTCACTCAAACTGTTTGGAGAAGTCGTGACCAACCAAGGACAGAATGCAAATGGAAATCAGATCTACATGTTGCTCACTAGTTCTTATTTTTTATTTGAATGATAAAAATTGAAATGATTTCAATGTAACAGACTTCAGATTAAGTAAGGCACGTTACGTCTTTGAAAGATTGTACATGTTTTGAACACTATCCTATCTTGGATCAACAACAGGTTATAAAAGTTATAATACAAATGATCTGTATTTTTGTCTCACAGGACGTTGTATGCAAGATATTCTTTAATATGCTACTGTTTAAAAAAAAAATTTTTTTTCTCGCAAAACCGGATTTCTTCCTTTTTGTCTCTTATATGGTGATATTCTTTTTTTTTAATGGAGAAAAGATCTCTTGTCTCTTAGTCTTGGAACATTTGTCATGGTCAGTGCTTTTATGTAGTGATGTCTAGGCATCTGTACAAACTGTGACAATAGTGACTGTGATGCTGTGGAAAATGGGAATTCTGCTCATTAAAAAAATTAAGAAGCTTGGAGGACACCACTAATAGGTTTTAATTCTTTACTGTCCCTCTGCTGTTTCTGTCTGTCTCTCCTCCTTCCCCTTCAGCTTTAAATGACTGTCTTGATTGTCAGTATGATTCTCTTTAACTCATATAAACATACATACATTTATGTCTTGTGAAATGTTACTCAATATAATTTATAATTGGTGTTGGTCAAAGCATATTGTTTCAGGCCTCTGTGCTGTTTAAGTAGACTATTTCTAGTGATTTGAATCATCTTGTGGAGTTTGTGTTATATTCTTGCATATTGCAAAGGTCACGCACATGCAGATGATTTGAGGAGGTCACTGGTAGGTCCTACTTTTCAATCCATTTTTTTGTAAGAATCTTTTTATCTTGCTTTTTCCTGCACTAATGGTGGTTATAGTATCTATGTGTTCCTCTTTACTCAAACCAAGAAAGACGATTGTCATAAGAGTGAAGCGATAGTAAAAAGCTGTTTTAAAAATGAAAACACATATCATCTATTGTGCTAAAAAATTGGACATAACAAAACCTTAAATTAATTTCATTGCAATATTTTTTTTTATTAGTGAACATTTAGATCTAAGACGGTGCATTATGTCTCTTTTAATTCAAGCTGTCAGCTGCTTTTTATCAGTTTAAAAAGTTTTTCTTTGTGAAAGAGGAATATACGTTTGTTGCAATTAATAATGAGCATGTTGCTTTGTTTAGAGTCCTATTATGGGGTTTATTTTTCACTGGCTTACCATGGTACCTGGAAGGTGTATTTGTACGTTAATTTAAGGAAAAGAAGGTGCTTCCTTTTTTCACAGTGCAGATGTGATGCAGCGTGGTGAAATCAGGCGGTCGTCAAAATAATCAAAGTGAAGAAACTGGCATTTTTCTGCAGGTTTGTGAATTTTTTATAGATTTTTTGGTTTTTTAGGCTCTACACCTTTCAAGCCCATTAAAGAACACATTTCTGTGTGGATTTTTACTGAAAAATGTCGATTAAAGGCACAAAAAATGTAAGTTTTCGGGTTCTACAGACTCTCAAACTGAGGAAATAACTAATCTTTGGCGGTCATTTTCTCAGTATTTTTACCTCTGAAACCAGGTGACCCCCACCTCCTTCATTCGTAAATATCTCAACTTGTATTCTAGATAAATGGATATTTTTTTTTCATCAAAAGCAAGATAAATGAACAAGCTTTAAGATGATACCAATACATGTAAATCGACTTGCCCAGAAATTGACGAGAGCCTGATTCCACCACATTGTGACATATATGATGGAGATTGGTGACATCATCTTCAAATGTATAATTTATATCTTCTTTATTGTTTCTTTCTTCTCTTTGCTCAGTTACTTATTTCATCCAGTCCATGCTGTATCTGGTGGCATGAAATGAGATACTGTCGTGTCCTCCAGAAAATTTTAGAGATGAAAATTCTTCCATCATGTGAAAGTGGCGAGTGCCTCATAATGTATGGGGTGTCTATGTCAATTTCTTCTGGGGTATTTTGTTATCAGTGGAAAATGTATCATTTTTAGGTGTTTTCTCTGTTATTTTGCTCTTTATTCAGATTTACGACTTGGAATCATGAGATGATTGTGTGAACAAGTAGTTTTCCTCAAGTACATACACATTCCACATTTATGAAATTAACCAACAAACTGAAGTTGCGATATTTATGAAGGTGTGTAGGCTTTTGAGAGAGCTTCCATATAAAATAACAAGAATATTTCACCTCCTCATTTATGATTTTATCAGTTTTTCTCTTTCAATGGACAGATTAACCAGTAATTGCCTGAAATTAAAGAGAAGTCAGTTTTAGTTTCTTTTGGTTTGATACACAGTTCAAACCCAAAATCAGAATAGCTTGGTGAAGTTTGGGAATATCCTTGCGACTTTTGAACAGCTGGGCAAATGTACTGCTTGTTGTACAATTTGCTTCAGGTTTTCATTCTGAATTGAGCTATGGTTGGGTGATTACTGGGTGGTTGACGTGTGCTCTGGTGCCGTTTACTCCATCTTTCCTGTAAAAAATCTATGACTGTCCTTATTTCTCCCCTTCCTTTTATTTGTATATTACTCTCTAGTAACACCTCTAATCTTTGGCACTTATATGAACTATATACTGTATATATATATATATATATATATATATATATATATATATATATATGTGTGTGTGTGTTGCAAGTGCCGTAAAACTGAACTAAATAGGATGATTCTGTGCTCTTTTTTTTTTGGTATTTTGAACGCTTTACCAAACCATGACTGACAAGCTGTTGGACTGGTGTTTAGTCCCTTGTCAGTGCAAAAGTTTAAAGTGGTAGTTGAAATGACAAACTCAGCTCATTTTTAACCCTCGAGTATGGTATGTGCCATATTTGGCACATTGAATTAAGATAATGATTTCTGAAAGAAGTACACCTTTATGAATCACAATTCAGTGTTCTCTATCAGACTAGATTTTGTGGTTGTTGGCGGATGCTCTGGAGTGGTTTGCTTTTTCTTTCCTGTCAAACATCTATCGTCGTTATCTACCATCCTTCTTTTTTGTATATGTTAATCTCTTATTACACATCTATTCTTAGGCACTTATATGACCTTATTGTGTTGCAAGTGCCGTACAACTCTTACGAACCTAGACTAGACCTTGCTGTCTAGAAATAAACCCATTGCAAATCTTTTTAAAATAAAAGCGACCTATCAACTTGATAAATATTTCCCTGTACCACTTCAAATTTCTGGATTTTAAAAACACTAATCAAGTTCAGTTGCTAGAGGGTTAAGAAAAGAAATGATTCAGCTTAGGTGTAAGATACTGTTGTAATGTATAGGTTAAGATTTAGTTGTTAAGTTGTATATACCCCCCGGGGGCGGTGCTACTGGCTGAAGTGTCTTTAGGCCGTTCCAAAAGGGGGGACATTAACATGTTCTTATGCACAGTAGAATTGTAAATGGGCTGATTCATCAATGTCCTGCTTGTAACTGTTCCGGAACTGCAACAGGGAACTGCTGCTTATTCTATCCTAATCCTATCTTAATTTTCCTCTACTTTTGTATGTTTGTCACACTCTTGTGACCCACTATTTCCGGGATGCCTTGATAGTCGAAGCAGAATTTGTGCTGTTGAAGCTGGAGAGGTGAGCAGAGTAAGCCTAATTCCCAGTGTTGACATCCACCCCTTGGCGCTCATATGACCTTATGCAGTTGCAAGCGGGGTAAAACCTCTACTGAAACTAAATACTAAAAGCTGTAAATTTTTTGTAAAGTGTCACATGCAAACTCTACCTTTTTTTTGTATGGATAGAAGAAACAATAGAGACGATCATTCACATTTGACTGTGTCTAGTAGAAAATAATTATTTGTGCGTCGTTTGTATTATGTGTGCTTTAGATATGTGGTTGTACAATAAGTTTCCTAATTTACATTAATAGGCATATTATTATGTCATATATGATATATAAAAAGTAATATGTGTACATTCAACTTCACTTGTTGAACTCGCTTGAGTTGATCTTCGATTAAGTTTATCTTTTTCTTGGATCCCAGCTCCTGTACTTCTTTACAGACAGACAGATCCCAACAGTTAAAGCTGAACTTTGGATGAGTTGATCATGTTTTGTACTCCCCTGACAACATCAACTCATCTGTCGTTGACTGTATTTGATTTTCGTGTTTAGCCAGAACCTGGTTAATTTATTTAGAAGTTGATTCTCCACGTTGAAGATCAAATTTGTTGTGAAAATGCTCTGAGGTGTTGGTTATGAATTGTTTGCTCATTAACAAAAATGTTGATTAGTCTGTCAGAAATGGTTAGTAAAAATTTGTCATGCGGTGATGTAACCAACGCAAGTTTCATGATTGTTTGATTGTTGTGCAGTGAAAAGTTCTTTAAGAACTATTGCCATCTGCTTTGTGTATCATCAGTTTCACCAGTGTTTCTGAGGCATAAATCATGATGTACACTTTCATCTGGGCTCTCAGTAATCTGATTTTAGAAACCTATTTCTGTTTATCGATTTTTTTCTTACATATTTTCGCTTCATAACACTTAGCCTTTGATGACATGCTTAATTTATTTAATTCTTATGCAGGTTTGTCTACTTTTTATTTCACTGTAAGCTGACTCTCTTAATTAAGGCCTCAAGAAGTAAGTTCTTAATTTTCAAGGGAGTTTTTTTTTAATGTGGGAGAGAGAGACTCATGCAGTTGAGTCAAAGTTGATGCCATATAAACCTTATCAGCTGTTACTGTACGGGCTAGAAGTTCTGTTGTTTTAGCAGCAGTGTCAATACTGATGTGGTATTGTGTTGAGTTGTGTTACTTCTTTCAGAGTATGGACATCCTGTGGAAATGTTTGTTTTTTGTTCTTGATTAATTCTTTTCTACTTCTAGCCATCCTAATTATGTATTATTATTATTATTTTGTCACTTTTTCTGCTAACTGAGGCAGACAATAAAATATAATGTTTCTTTTTTCATACAGTGCGCTTTTTTCATAATAAATATATTTTTTAAAATTTTCATTTGGCTTCCATCATGGATACAGAGTACCTAAACTCTGTCTTCAAGTCCATATGACCTTGTGCTTATGCAGTTGCGAGCTATGTAAAACTTTTTACCCAACTGAAGCTGAAACTTTTTTTTTTTTCTTTTTTAATTTTAAAGGAGTCAGGAGCCCAGAGAAAGGGGCAAGAGAGGTGAGGGAAGAAAGTGGAGACAAAAGAAGACGGCAGAACATTTCTAGAGCAGGAAAGGAGGTGAAAGGAGAAAATTTAAGAAAAG